CCCACCCGACCAGATAGACTTGATGATGTAAAGACCAATCCAATTAGGTCTGAACTTGCCCCTAGGGTCGTGGATGGGAGCTCGGTTGTCTTTGAGCACCAAATCTCCTTCTCTCAAATTCCTAGACTTAACTTTCTTGTTGAAGGCCCTGGCAATTCTTCGTTGATAACCCTGAACATGACACAGTGATTTCAGCCTTCTCTCGTCAAACAACATGAGTTCTTCGAACCTACTTTGCTGCCAATCTGCCTCAGCTATCTGACACTCAGCCAGTACTCGTAATGACGGAACCTCAACTTCGATAGGCAGCACAGCCACCATCCCATAAACTAAGGAATATGGAGTCACCCTAGTAGAAGTTCGAATTGAAGTCCGGTAGCCCCATAGAGCAAATGGCAGCTTATCTGGCCAGTCCCAGTAGGTTTCCATCATCTTCTGCAGAATATGCTTGATGTTCTTGTTGGCGCCCTTAACAGCTCCGTTGGTCTATGGCCGATATGTAGACAACTTATGAAAAGCCACGTTGTACTTCTCCAACAAGTCGACCACCTCCTTCTTGAAATGGGAACCATTATCTGAAATGATCTCATTCGGGATTCCGTAACGACAGATGATGTTGTTCCTGATGAACTTAGCAATGTGTGATGCCTTCAACACCGCATAAGATTGGGCCTCACCCATTTCATGAAATAGTCTATCGTGACCAGAATGAACTCATGTCCATTGGACCCCTTCGAAGTGACAGCCCCGATCGCATCAATCCCCCAGACTGAAAACGACCATGGCGAAGTCATGTTGTACAGCTTCGACAACGGAATGTTCATGCGGTTTGCATGGATCTGACATTTGTGGCATCGCCGGACAAAGCCAATACAATCCTTCTCCATGGTGGACCAGTAATAACACTGTCTAAGGATCTTCCGGGCTAGCATCACCCCGTTCATGTGCGCTCTGCACTCTCCTCCATGGATAGCCTCTATCAGGCGCTTCGATTTTTCAGCATCAACACACAGTTTATGCATCCCGAGATGACCTCTCTTGTACAGTTTACCCCCGCAGACGATGAACTTAGCAGCCATTCTTCGAATTGCCCTCTTATCTTTGGCATTTGCCCCTGGTGGATACGCCTCTTTTTCCAAGAAGTTCCAAACATCGTAATACCAGGGATTCTCATCTTGTACCTCATCTATAGCGGCAATCAGCTCGTCGGCCGGCACAAATTTCTGTTCGATGATAATCGGACGCATCCGGACTCCGAAAGGAATGTCTATCTTAGAAGATAGAGTTACTAATGAATCCGCGAACCTGTTGTTCTCTCTTAACAGATGAGCGAAGTTTAATTTCTCAAACCGAGGAATCAGCATGTCCAAGGTCTGGTGATAGATTCTTTTCTTTTCTTCTTTAACTTTCCAATCTCCTTTAGCATGAGATACAACAAGGTGCGACACTCTAAACCGGAGTTTGAATGCTAAAGGTATGCGAGAATTGTCGGGTGTTATCAGTAACACCCCTATCCCATACCCGTATTGGTTTGACGCTCCGTCAAAGTACATCGTCCAAGTTTCGTCTTCGACATGCAAAATGGCCTCGTCTGATACTCGATTGCTTCATCCCCTTCAACTGGGTGATCAGCTAGGAACTCCCCTACCGCTCTCCCTTTCACTGACTTGCGCGTTACGTACTTCAGATTGAATTCGAAAAGCAGAAGCAACCAACGGGCTAGCCTACCCGTAAGTGCCAGTTTCTCGAAGAGATATTTGATGGGATCTAATCTCGAAACCAGTATTACAGAGTGAGCTAACAGGTAGTGTCGTAGCTTCTTGGTAGCCCATACCAAGGTCAGGCAAGCCTTCTCTAGCGGAGTGTAGCGGATCTCGTAATCCAGCATTTTCTTACTCAGGTAGTAGATAGCCCTCTCCACTTTGTCCTCAGACTCCTGTGCAAGCATGCAGCCCACTGTAGTTTCAGTCACTAAAAGATACAGAATCAACGGTTTCCCCGGCTCAGGTGGTGACAACACAGGTGGGTTCTGTAAATATTGTTTGATCTATTTAAAAGCAGTTTGGCATCGGCCGTCCCATTGGAACTTCGTTCCTTTCTTTAGGAGACCAAAGAGTGGTTCACAAGTCAAGGTTAATTTAGCAATAAACCGTCTTATGAATTACACTTTACCCAGAAAGCCTCGCACCTCCTTTTCAGTCCTCGGTGGAGGCATTTCTAAGATAGCCTTGATTTTGGAAGGATCGACCTCGATACCTCTTTGTATGATCAAGAACCCCAGCATTTTCCTTGCTGTAACACCAAACGTACACTTCTGAGGATTCAACCGCAGCCGATACTCTCTGATCCGTTGAAAGAACTTCTGTAAGGCGGTGTAGTGACCCTCTCTTTCCTTGGACTTGACAAGCATGTCGTCCACATACACCTCAACCTCTTTATGGATCATGTCGTGCAAAATTGTGGTCGCAGCCCGTTGATACGTAGCCCCAGCATTCTTCAGCCCAAACGGCATTACCCTATAACAATAGGTTCCCCACGGGATGGTGAAAGCATTCTTTTCCCGGTCTTCGGGTGCCATCAATATCTGATTGTTGCCTAAAAAACCATCCATGAATGAGGGCAACGCATGCCCAGCAGTGAAGTCTACTAACTCGTCGATATGTGGCAGAGGAAAGTCATCCTTCGGACTGGCTTTATTCAAATCTCTAAAGTCCACACATACCCGAATTCTGCCGTCCTTCTTCGGCACCGGAACTATATTGGCTAACCAAGTTGGGTATTCAGATACCAGCAGGAACCCTGCATCAATTTGCTTGGTGACCTCTTCTTTGATCTTGAGAGCCCAGTCTGGGCGGATCCTTCTGAGCTTCTGCTTAACTGGTCGGGCCTCTAGGTCAAGAGGGATCCGGTGCTGTACAATCTCAGGACCGATCCCAGGCATGTCTTCGTAGGACCACGCAAAAACATATTTGAAATCTTTTAACAAAGCGACTAAGCGCTCGCGCTCCTCCGAAGACAAGGTCAACCCGATCTGGACCAGCCGCGGGTCCTTCTGAGTACCAACATTAATTTGGGTGATTTCATCAACCAAGGGTTTAACAAACCTCTCCTGCTCTTGATCAAGCAAATATTGCAAAACCTGAGGAGTTTCTTCCTCGTCGTTTTCATCAAAATTTTGAAAACCCTGATTAATGCAATAAATTAAGGGCACAAAAAAGTACTCAAAGGCCACAGCCGCACAATTCTCATTAATCACTTCCAAGTCGCTTGATACCTCTATTACAACAGACTCAAACGAAAAAGAAAAAGACGACCTAGACAGGACTGTGGCATCCGGGTTGTCACCCCCAAAAATACCGGACTCAGACTCAGACGAGCTGGAATCTGATTCTGACTCACTAGACTCGGTGGAATCAGACTCCGGCACACTACCTGACCCAGTGCTGCTCGATAAAAATCCCTCCTTGTATTGCCAGATGAGGGAGGGTGCAATGGATACATCCAGAATATTTGAAGATGGGCTCGTAGCCGTTTCATTCCTAATCATGGACACTGAGAGGTCATCTCCCAAGCACTCATGTACGATCGGAGGATCTGAAAGTAGACAAGCCAGTGCTACCCCCATTTCAAACTCTATTCCCTCGGAATCCTCCCCCTTGCACTACTCAGCCTCAGCCGGTGGGTCTATCTGCTCCTCGGCAACATCATCCCCGGACAATTGCAAGTCAAAGAAAATCTCGAATCCTGGCAAGCGCCTCTTCTCTGCATTTAACCATGGCTCTGGAAAGCCACAGAACGGGAAATCCTCCCCCTCCCGGACAAAGCGTCTGTTCAGGGTACTCCGGAAGGGCTGGTGAACCAACTCAAAAGGCTTCCCGGCCTGCTTTGCTCTGGCTCTTCCGGCCATTTCTTTCCCTTTCCTCACCCAGTCCTCCTTAGTAGGCAGATAACCTAAACCAAAGGTATGTGGGTTATGCGGCACTTCGACTGATGCTACAAAGCCTTTCTGGCCACTACCCCCTAATCCCATCCTAGGGATATGCTGGAGCCTGTTCATAAGGTAAACTAATTGTGCGCTGACGTACAGCCTCTCATCAATAGCTAGAATGTTCTGTACAACCCAGGCCTCAACTAGGGTAAATCCTGATAGGAACACATCCTCCGCGCCATGTTCGATCTCCAAAACTGGCGTAAAATCCTCTGGCGGCGGATGGATTGACGAATTTCCAAGAACCATAGCCACCCTCTTCCCGTGGGGGTACTTCAACATCCGGTGCAGGGTTGAAGAGACCGCCTTCACCTGATGCAGCCATGGCCGCCCTAGGAGTATATTAAAGGTTGCGGGAACGTCCAAGACATGAAAGTCAATGTCATGTTGTCCTGGACCAACCTGAGTCCAAATCTGCATAGTCCTCATCACCTCTCTGCTGGTATTGTCGTAGGCCCTTACCACCTGGGCAGTTGGCACAAAGTCCGCGGGCTTCAACCCGATAGCATATGTCGTCCTCGACGGGCACACATTGATAACAGATCCTGTGTCAACAAGAACTATTGGTATCCATTTGTCTCTACACTCCACAGAGATGTAGAGTGGTTTGTTATGATTTGCCCCCTCAGGCGGCAACTCCTTGCCAGTAAAGGGCAACGTTGGGGAAGCTGCTCCCGGAAAAACCAATCCCACCAACTGTTTAGGCGTGGTGTCGATTGAAAGTTTGGCCTTGTCCATTGCAGAAAGGAAAGCCTGTCTATGAACTCTTGAAGCCATAAACAGTCCCCAGATGGAGATGTCTGCTTGGATTTTCTTAAGCTATTTCAGTACAGCCTCCTCCTCGAGTAGTTTCTCCTTTTGTCTCTCCGATTCTCTGTCCTTTCCGGATGCCTCTGGTTGATCCAAGTGCGGGGGCTTGAAATACCGCCCACTCCTGGTCATATGGTCCATCTCTCCCACATACCAGGTGTCACGCCCCAAACTTGCCCCTAAAAGTTCGGGCATGACCCATTCAAAAACAGACATATAACCTGGTATATATAGCATATGGGGCCTTATCGAAAGCGCAAAATATTAAAAGAATATTAAACTAAACAAACTCCATTGAGCTATTTCTAATATGCCAGGATCTCACACATCACATGCACCATAATAGGCCGATAAAGTGCAAAAATATTCCTTAGCAGTACTTATACACAAACACATATACAGACCCAGCCCTATAATCGGGCATGTACAAAACTGTTGAAGTTATATACATTCAAACTTGGAAGGATGGTCAAGAAGTAAGCCAATTATCTTAATAAACTTTAAAAAATAAGTGGCTTCGTAAGTGCCTGGATACACGAAGGTTGACAAAAGAAACCGGGCGTCATGGGTTAGAACTGACCACCTAGTTGGTTACCTACAGAAACAGACATATAGAGAGTGAGGCAGGCTCAGTGAATAGTAATATTTAAATGAAACAATGCTTAACTTGAAACATGACATATATCAATACGTATGGAAGTGCAGAGATCACATGGTTAGCCTGATTCTGTATTCATTTCATAACGGCCTTAGGCCCAAACCTGAACATAAAAGCTTGAAACATCACATCGTAAATCATAACGGCTTAAAGCCCGTGAACATGGTGGCATAATGCCCTTGAATATGATGGCGTAAAGCCCTTAAACATGGCGGCATAATGCCCTTGAACATGATGGCATAAAGCCCTTAAACATGGCGGCATAAAGCCCTTAAATATGCTTATACGAACTCAAGAGGTGTCTCACACGGATTCTAGAGGTGGCTCACGTCGTAGCACTTAGTTCCGTGTAGCACTTTGTTTCATACCATAACAACTTATATTGAATGGCCGTAGGCCCAGAGTCTTATAGAAGGAAGGTATTTTATCTCCCATTCCTTTCTTTACATACTTGGAACATACCTAAACATTATCATACATACTTGAAATATGAACATAGTTGCATACTTGAAACATTAACATAGTTGCGTAAACAAAATGCTACAAGAAGTAAGCCAATTATCTTAATAAACTTCAAAAAATAAGTGGCTTCGTAAGTGCCTGGATACACGAAGGTTGACAAAAGAAACCGGGCGTCATGGGTTAGAACTGACCACCTGGTTGGTTACCTACAGAAACAGACATATAGAGAGTGAGGCAGGCTCAGTGAATAGTAATATTTAAATGAAACAATGCTTAACTTGAAACATGACATATATCAATACATTTGGAAGTGCAGAGGTCACATGGTTAGCCTGATTCTGTGTTCATTTCATAACGGCCTTAGGCCCAGACTTGAACATAAAAGCTTGAAACATCACATCTTAAATCATAACGGCTTAAAGCCCGTGAACATGGTGGCATAATGCCCTTGAATATGATGGCGTAAAGCCCTTAAACATGGCGGCATAATGCCCTTGAACATGATGGCATAAAGCCCTTAAACATGGCGGCATAAAGCCCTTAAATATGCTTATACGAACTCAAGAGGTGTCTCACACGGATTCTAGAGGTGGCTCACGTCGTAGCACTTAGTTCCGTGTAGCAATTTGTTTCATATCATAACAACTTATATTGAATGGCCATAGGCCCAGAGTCTTATAGAAGGAAGGTATTTTATCTTTCCCATTTCTTTCTTTACATACTTGAAACATACGTGAAACATTAGCATACATACTTGAAACATTAACATAGTTGCGTAAACAAAATGCTAATGAAAACCATTAGTCATATGTAAATCGGATGATGATACTACTACTCACAATGTTGTGATGATGTGCTTGTTCCTCCCGGAGTGTGCCCTGCACACATTCAACCTTTACAATTTAGTTTCCTTTTCATATCAAATTACTTTCTGTTTCGTTTTACTTCGAAGGAATTTATACATATTAAAAGGCATCAAATACATATTCCGACAACATTAGAGGGTTCTACACGCAAAACGAAGTGATCCACGTTTTTCAGCATGGGCCGCACGTGCAGCTGTGAGCCCCGCACGTGCGGCAAACTCCCCCGCACGCGCGGTAGAATGCCCCGGCACGTGCCTTTTAAGTAGAACCAAACCCAAACCCAAAATTTTCAGCATTTGCCGCACGTGCGGCAGTGACTCCCGCATGTGCGGCGATTCCCCTGTTTTGGTCCGAAATTTGCATCAAAATCCCATTCTTTTGGGAGTGTTTGCAAGACTCTAAAATGGATCTTTTCATTGCCAAATTATGGTTCAAAAAGCATGAAATTTAAGGTACAATATACAACACTCTAGCTTGAATTAAATCCATGCACATAACTCAATTCAATGGACCAAAAGTTGAAACTCATAAACACACTTCCATGTCTTGAGGTTCTTAGCTTCACATGCACATAACATAACATAGATACACAAAATCATGCTCATAATAATGAATACCAACTTGATAATGAAGGAAACACATGATGATATGATTAACATACCAAAATTTCAACACACACACACACACACACAAGACCTCCATCACAATTTAGATCATACTATATCAAAACTTCCTATTTCATCTTGGGGAAGAGGATTGGATTAGGGGAAATTGAACTTAGCTTAGCTTCAATCCCTCTCAAGGCTTCCTTGTTCTTCCTCTCAACACTTTACTCCCAGAGAACATTTTATGAGGTAGGTCTTAAGTCTTTAGCTCTATGAGAAGCTTATAGATATATATAGATATATTGATCGAATAAGGACAAAAAGTAATCGTTTAAACATCCGAAATTGAAATTTCCCAAAAATGCCTAATATTACCCAAAAATTATGCTGATCACATATATAAAATCAATTTCAAATAATTAAGCCCTTAAGGCCTCCAATTTCAACTCAAACCTTCTAATGTAACAGATACTTTTCTTGTTAAACAGATAGACTTCCTTTAAACATATGGTTCACTTACTTGACTTTAATTCCTCATAGGATTTCACAATAAGCATTCGAAATCATAAAAGAGGATCTGAAAACATAACAGAGAACATGTACGAGGGTCGGGTTATTACACCAGGTATCATCCGGTTGGTTTTGTCCCCAATCCTCATCTGTGTGGGCAAGACATAGGTCGCCATCTTCCCACCACATACCGTCGGCCATCGACAGGCAGCTATCAGGTTCCGTTACAACTACTTTTGTATGCACAGCACATTTTGTCCCCTCAGGGGCTTTGGCCTTTCTAGCCCTTTCTAGATCTTCGATCTTTTCCTGTTCAAACTGCTTCAGCGCAGGCTGCTATTCAGAATCTTTCGTACTCAAACTGCCTATATCCCAAGCAAAATTCTTAACACCGGTGCTCTCCGGCGGTTGCTCCTGATCCCCGGCCATTCCGGCCACTGTTGATGTCCCCGTTTCTGATGGTCCTTATTCTGGCTGAGGTTGTTCAACGACATCTGGCTCGTCGCTGAGCCACCCCGTAGCTTCTGCTGACCCTTTCAAATCAAACCAGTTGACAGTCACGTCTCCCGGATCCTGTTCATTGAAGAATTGTAGATTCGCGATATCCTCCTGCAATTCCGTTAGGTCATCTAGCTCCTGATTAGGTCCATCCTCCCTAACTACACTGATCTCTGCCTCCCCTGGCAATTCCACCTCTAGCCTAACCTGGCCTGCTGACGTGATGTAACCACTCGAGTTATACTCAAAACTCGCAGACCCCTCAAGCTCTGACTGATCATTCCCATCTGCCCTCACAGTGATCCCTGTTCTGTCTTCAATAGTCACCACCACCAGTTCTAGTTGGGTTTGGGAGATATCCAACATGCACAAGTCAGTGCTGTTAGGAATGAACACCTTCGGCTTGGGTAGGTGAGAAGGAGTGATATATATACTAGGGTCGTATGACACAACCCCAGTTTGGATCAGGCTAATACGTTTAGGAGGTGGAGCTTGGTTATGTGGTGGGAGTGGGTTGGTTGTGACATTCGGTTTCTCCAGAGGCACGATCACCCGGTTGTCAATGAGATTCTGAATCTCATAATGCAATTGAAAGCACTAGGCGGTTTCGTGACCATGCTGTTGGTCATAGGCACAGTACTTTGCTGGGTTATGGGATGGAGGAAGTTTTTCTGGTAATGGTCGCGGCTCTAGGGGCTTCAAGTGCCCTTTCTTGATCAAAACCCCCAAAGCTTTGGACATGGCATGTATAGTGGAGTAAAGGTTCTTTGGCCTCTGGGTGCATACCTGGCTGTTTGCGAGCTACTTCCGGACGCGCCGATGAAGGGTGTAGCTAGAAGGGTTTTTGGGGTGGTGGTGGTGACCATACCCACATCTGAAGCTCTGGCAGCTGCAGCACTACTTGTGCCTGCATTTGTACTGCGGTTGAATGCCCTCTTAGGCTGCTCTCTGTCATGGTCAATCAGACCCTGTTTCGTGGCGTCCTCGATCTACACCCCAATCTCATGTAGATCTGTAAAGGTAGGAAGGGGGAGGACGATCATCTTTTGCATGAGCTTGGACTGGAGGTTGCGCACAACCATCCGTATCAGATCTTTGTTAACGGGCCTGATGGTCATCATCGAGGCCTTGGCCCTCCAACGGGTAACGAAGTCGGAGAAGCTCTCCTTTAGTTCTTGCCTAGTTATCTCGAGATCATGAGTTATGACCTCGATCTGCGTATTATAAGAGTATTGAGCTATAAAGGCCTCAGCCATCTCCTTCCAGTTTCTCTTAACAAAGTCCTCTAGCTTTGCATACCAAATAGCCGCAACACCCGACAAGGTCCAGCCAAACAGGGAAAGCTTCTGCAATCTAGAGAGGCCCATCGGCCTTAGGATATCTGAAAACAACCGTAGATGCACCATGGGGTCCCCAGACCCGTTGAAGCGGTCAATATGTGGCATTTTAAACCGGTCTGGCAGCGTCACGGCCGAGTCAGTATATCCGTCCTCTATATCCGGAATGGATTTTACGCCTTAAGCCTTCTTGAAAAGCTTTTCTAGCTTACTCACTTTTAACGCCGTTAGATCCACCTCAAATTCAAACGGTGAATCCACTAGATTGGTGGGCACTTTGGATAGCTTGGGTAAGATCGAGGGCGAATCTGGCCCTGTTGGGACGTCCGTATTTTCTTGGACGTTAGTAGTCTCCCCTGGTGTTGGAACTCCTAGTGGAGGGGAGCTGGGTGTGAAGCAGATGCTCCGGTTTGCTGCTGTAGCCTGGCAATTAACTCTGCCTGTTGGGTCACCACTTCTGCTTGGCGGGCAGCATCCCGCTGCATGTTTTGCATAGTCTCCTAGAGCTGACGCATCATCTCTTCCATTTCAACTGTAAAGTGTGGATCTAACTGAACCGGTGTATGTTCCCTCTCTATGGGAGAAACAGAATCCTGATCCCTACTGCACTCAGGTGGGGTAGACAAAGCCCTCTGAACTGATTACTGAACTGATATCCT